TGTTTAGACCGTAGCCAGGAGTGTCCTGACACCCACCTGCGCTGTGGAGACGGGTCCTGTGTACACGTGGTGTATCTCTGTGACAGTGTCAATGACTGTAGGGATGGGACTGATGAGTCAGAGGAGCTCTGTGGTAAGTAAATGTCATATTTAGTGTGGCTTGAAAGACATACTAGTCTACCAACATGTTCTGGTGTTTTTGATGTCAACTTGCAGTATTTAACTGTACACTAACCTGAACATGCTGGTAGTATTTAAAGCCAATGAAATGGGTAATGGTCGTATTTACTAATAGATGCAACATTTTCTTTACCCCCACAATGCAAAAATATTTGATTTGTTAAAACTGCATTGAGAAAAAAATGCCAAAGTCATGATTAGCCTCCTTTCTTTCATGTTTAATAGTTGTTGTCATGCATTGTACTGTGCAGAATTGCTGTGCAATAAAATGATTGAGTCTGGCTTGGAAACCACCCGCATGTCCGGTGAAGTTGGAGGTGTGTACCTGCACCAATATTTATATTGACTTATTATAATAAGTCAATCAAAACAGAAGAAACCCCTTCTTTTGTGTGGGAGGACAACTTATATAAACTTGAACGTGTATATGCACCTGTTTTTCCTTTTATGTTGTGATAAACTCTAATAATCAAGTGATTGTTCCTCTCCCCAGGTCCAGCTGACACCTGTCCTGAGTTCTCCTTCAGCTGCAGGGAGGGGGGAGGGGGGCAGTGCATCTCTCTCTCCTTCTTCTGTGACCGCGATGACGACTGCAACACGTATGAAGACGAAATCAACTGTGGTAAGATTTTCCCTGTTACAAGATATGCAAGTTTTACAGCAATACTGTAACAATGTTTCTTTATACTATGTGAATTCGAGGGGATTCATTCCTCAGCTAACCGACATCTCGCACACACAGACATGATCCCTCAGTAAGACATCTGGAGCCGCATAGTTCCTGTTTAGAACTTTTATTCAGCCTGTCACCTGTTTCTTTATATTGGTATGTACTAATAATGCACAACATGTAGCTTTTGGTCAACCTTCTAAATGTTTGTGATGTAGTATACCATACATCTATGGTCAGCTATATCGATGATGTTATATATTGTGATGCTATAATTCTCCACCATTTAGAATGGCCTGAGATGAACTGTAGAACAGACCTGGGTGAACTGGAGTGTGAGAACAAGAAGTGTTATGATGCCAGACTGAGGTGTGATGGACATAAGGACTGTGAAGACAACAGTGATGAACTTCAATGTGGTGAGGGATTTCAGTACAATTATGTGACAGCTACTTTCTCTAACCCCTCCTTCATGTACAATCATACTTGTGGCATATTTGGCTTGTTGAACTGTGAAAAGAGTTCTATTGTCTTTGCTGTGTGTTTTGTTTGTCTGTATTCTTTGGCCAGAACATTTTGCTCTTAAAATTACGGATGGATTGTTATGATATTTGGTATGTGAGCATGGTTACTCACATTCTAGTCAATCTATGTGACATGTTACTAAGCAATTTCATACAAATCTAGGCAATAATGTATGTGTTATGAACTTCTCTTATGTCACCAAACTCTTGTACTTTCATGACAAAGTTTCGTTTTAGATACAAAAACCACCTGTTTTATATCCCTTCTTTTGGTGTGTTTCATACTCAGAGTTCTGCCAGGGTTTCCAGTGTTTTGATGGCAAGTGCCTCCCGGGAGAGTACGAGTGTGATGGTCAGATTGACTGTAATGGTTACATTGGAGAAGATGAGGACCACTGCTGTGAGTTATCCCTGTTGTATATATATTGTGTTATTATAGATGAGTGAGGTATTTTTGTCTCCTCTTGATTGTTTGAGCATGTTTGTCTGTATAGCCAGCAGAACTGCCCTTCATGTGTAAAACACCTGTTTAGTGTCCAGCATCAAAGGCAAAAATAGATCATGCAAGCAGCTAGTTATATTACAGTATTAACTGTAACATAAACAACCTGTCACCCCAAACCTTTGCGTATCCAGCGGCAAGACTAATAGTATTCATCTAGTGAGGATGCATCTACTTTACTTGGTCTCTGAGCATCTTCAATGTGGTCCCAAATGTACAGGATACATGATCAACAACAGTTACAGGGAAAAGTATCTACATGCACCATGCGGTCCAAATTGTACGGGAGTGTAATATGTGGTTGAGAAAAATTTCTTCAGTGACTTACCAACATGAGGAAACTATTCAGTAACATGCATATGTTTTCTGTAGTGTACCAATGGGAGAATGCTACAGACTTAGAGTACTGTGAGGACCTGATGAGATGCAGGAATGGTGCGTGTGTGAGTAACAGCACCAACACCACCTGTCTGTTCAACCTGGACGTCATCGGGGCTCATGTCGGCTGCAGGGATGCCACACATCTGGAGGGCTGCAGTAAGTGTGGTCTTACAGTTCCTTCATACAACATGGGCTCAACGCCTATCAAATCCCTGTCAGAAGGATATGTGGCACAAAATGGTTTAGACTATAATTGTATATATTTCTGCATTGATAAGCATCTGTACCATTTCAGTCTTGGACAATTGTTGCATCATTAGACTATTGTACATGACATAATGTAGAAATCTGATAACATACAATGTAATAGTGGTCACGTTAGTACAATTTATACATCAAACTAGAAAGGCCAATATTTGCTTTGGAGCAAATATAGCGATGGGTTCACCACATTTTACCACATGGCAGGGAAAGAATGAGAAACACAAGGGAAAACAATGCTTTACATTGATATAACTATAGTATGAAGTAACATACAACTAAGACTACAACAGTTGGATAGCTATTCCCTACATTATTGGTTAGGATTGCATAATGCAAACTGTTGATTTTCAAGATAAAAAGAAGCGTTCATAGCCCGCATTCCAATGCTGGAGCAGGAAAGCTTAAAATACCTACCAAAACACTTGAATACAGACATACTGTCAGTATGGCATGGCTCTGTGCAGGTGTAAATGAAGTTAAGCCAGTTAAATCCCAACAGCCAATCAGCAAGGAGAATAGAGGAAAGCTGCATGCCTATTGGTTGATGCCTTGCATGCCATTGTGATGACTCATGTCCAAATGTGGTAAACACTGCACACTTACACAGTAATACATTAGCTATTACACAGCCAAAAAACTCAAATAAAACCATTCTAAAAGCCTGTATCACAATAATTTAAAAAACGCCTAGGGGTATTTGCCCACTGTACCTCCATACCAAATTTCAGGACCTTAGGCCCTAAAATGAAGAAGCTGAATCCATTTAAAGATATGGCAGGAGGAGGAGGAGGAGAAGGAGAAGAAGAAACATCAGAAAAAGCAATATGGTTTCACCACACCACTTCGTGGTGTGGTGAACCCATAAAAACAATTCTCATGGCATATTTTGATTATCTAACAGCATACGGAAATTCCAATAGGGCAATAGTCAGTGAGTGCTGGCATTAAATTTTTCCTTTCACTGTCAATGCATCTCCATGTAATACTGGTAATACCGGTACTAGAGTATGGCTCTGAACTTTTAGTACTATTTTCCTGTCTTTGTTCAGCACGAGACAACATGGCATGCCCTGTGAACACAGTCCAGTGTGACTCTGGGTACTGTATCCAGCAGAGGATGGTGTGTGATGGGAAGAACGACTGTATACATGGGGAGGATGAACTCAACTGTGGTCAGTTTGCATTTGCTTCTTTGCTTCTTATTTCAAGTCTAGTTAAAGCTCACCAGGTCACCCCTACTCTTCTGGATAAGTGTGTTGGGTTCTTTTATTGTCCAAGGTTTGATGCCTGAAGCAGAAATTGTCATTATATGACAAATAATCATGTTTCAGGGGAACCTTGTACATGTAACCAACTCTACAGAAGTGCCACCTGGCCAATGTAACCACTTTTTGGTCCTTTTGATAATGTTCCCTTTAATATAATTGCAGAGCACTGAAAAAAGTATTTCTACCACTGCTTTTTGTGTTTCCTGATGAGGTCTTTTGGGGCTGTTTTGACTGTACTATTATTGGTCTGCTCACTTTGCATGGATTTTCCAAATGTAGCTAACTACACCTGTCCTGGAGCCCACCGCTGTCGAGGGGAGACTAACTGTGTTCCTAAGGACCAGCTGTGTGATGGCATACCTCACTGTGCACAAGGGGATGATGAGAGCTTCTGTGGTAAGTCTTTTAAAGAAGGAACAGGAATTTTCTATCAAAAATGTTGATCATGTTATCGTAACGCTTAAGTTAGTTCCTTCCATACCTGTCAGCTAATGGACCTATACCATTATTACGTCACAGTTTGTTTACCTGTTCTAAAGAACATTCTAGAACGGTCAGTTAAAGAATAAAGATCATTTCAAAGTTTTCAAAGTAAGGTATGTCTGATTTTTGCTGCGTCTAGTTGTGTTGACACAGCATTACATGCTGCATGGGTGATTTAGTTGTGACATTAGACGAAAGTAGTACTGTATTAAAAGCCTTATATTAGGCTAACGCTACACAAACACACACCGCACTATGCACCCCTGTACAATATAAACGTCGATTGACCGGCATTCATTGCGGTAAACAAACTGTGACGTAATAATGGAATAGGTCCATTGGGTGGCAAGTTGTCATGTTGATGCATCAAATGGTTTTCATCAGCTTGTATAGCCATGGCATTCAATCATTCAATCAACCTTTATTGCACATGTATGCACATAGGCCTGAATGCATACTAGTTACTGTATGATATTACATGACGGTACTGAATAATAGTAATAGGAGAAAATAATAACTCAGGCACTACATTCTATCTTAATATCTAATCTAGGTTTTAAAGATTTCGTCTATCTTTTTGAAGCAACTGAAGATAAAATTGCACATAGTTTTCTATTGTGTGGTCATTAGAGGTACATTCATGTAGTCAAGTCATGTAGTCATGTACGTGTAGTCATGAGGCTGGCAATACAAACCCACATTTTTTTCTCCCAGCTGCCCAGTGCCCAGAAGGCTGTAAGTGTTACGGTCTGGTGTTCTTGTGTCGAGACATGGAGTTCAACCTCATGTTGGTGGACCTGCCTTGGTACCTCAGGAAAATGTATGCTTTCAATGTACATTATTCAATTGCTTTTGTTTGAAGTAGTATTCAAGAGATGCTTTGAGTTTGTCAAGATTTGAATACAAAACCATGCAGAGCTCTGTGCTTATATTGTGCCATACCTTACCCAGTTTGAAACTTACTTCAGTATTTCAGTAAAAATGTTAGCAGAACAAAACTCAATAGCACATGTCAAAGCTTTCTTAGAATATTTAATATAAAGGCAGGTGGGCATCTGTGAGGAAACTGGTCCTACTTGATTTCAGTACAGTATGTTGCAATTGTTTGACCAAATTTTGAGAAGACACAAATGAATACTCATTCACAAACTCAAAGTCTAAAGGTTGATACTTTCATGATTGTTAAACTTTGCATTTTACAGTGATCTGAGCAACTCGGATTTTACGGAACTAGAAGACATGCGGGGTAACAACTGGACAGACGTCACTTTTCAAAGGTTCAGTTATGTGGCAGAACTGTAAGTAAATGACAAGTGATGTCCAAATATAGGAAAGCTGATCTCATTAATATATGTGTTTCTTCCTCCGTTAACCAAGATGTCAAAGACTGGAACTATTTTGTACTGCTTTGACTATTCATTCTGTTTACTTTTGACAGTGTTCTGAAGAATGCGGGACTGTGGACTCTGACAAATGAGATGTTCCTGAAGCTGAAAAACTTGCTTGTGTTGTAAGTAATGCTGTTTTTGGTCTTGTACAGTACTTGCTGGTACATAATATAAAACCCACCTCTTATATCTCTCCTTGGTACTGAAATGCCTTCCACAACTTGAGTCCTAAATGATTTGAAAAATTCCAACCAAATTAAGTCAGTTGCTCATGATAAGATGTTTACAATGGATGATGAACACTATATTGTAGATCTACATGTAATAAATCTCTTGTTACAGGGATCTGAGCTACAACATGCTCACATCAGTTGTGAACGAGCCATTCTCAGATCTGGCAAGACTGAGGAGCCTGTGAGTAAATCTTTCAGATGATTGTGATGAACTGTGTTCTGCAGATCAGTTTAGTTGTGGAAACAAGCTTCACTTGCAATCAGTCACTCTTCATTTTAGTGTGGATTTACAGATAATTAATTAGACATTTTGATTCAAGGTATGATATAGCTACCTAAGGCCACACCAATTTAATTTGTTGGTTCTCGGATTCGCCTCTTCATTTTTTTCTGATTTGCAAAAAAAAAAAAAAGATTCTGGTTCTGAATCAACTCAAAAATGCTCATATTTTGCCCCCAAGAGTTGTGGAAAGTCCTTTTCTTCCTAGCTGTTGCAGTGTTTCCATCTATCAATGCAGTGGTTTGATTAAAAGTTCGAAATTCATTGTTTAGATATTAACACAACCTTTTGTGTTGACTTCATGGCTCCTATCATAGCATTTGGGGCTATAATAGGATGCCTAAACCTGTTTTTATTTTTTTATTTTTTCGCCCTGTCGCTTCATGTTTTTTCTGACAAAATCCGAGAACCAACAAATTAAATTGGTGTGGCCTAAGGGGGGAAATCTCTGTGACTACTCTGATATTCAGCAACTTCTGAACCATTGAAAGAATTCTACGCTGTCACTTAACTTCCCCTATAGGCAATAGTGACTGGCCATCAATAAGGTATACTACATAACATCTGACTACGTGTGTTTCAGAAACCTACGTGGAAACAGGATCAAGACAATCGAATCTGGAATTTTCGCTCCACTGATAGACCTGAATGAGCTGTAAGTTTCCATGGTGATATCAGATTATCCAATGCAATACTGGTTTAAAGTAGTCTCCAAGCAAATCCAATGACTATTATGGCTACCAGTGGTCACTACTTGGGAAATGGATACTGCCTTGTTACTTGCTTGGAGATTACTGGCTTTGCAGATGCTTTATATTGACTTAAACTGAACGACATCCATCTTAAAGTTTATATATTGTTTAATATCCTTCTCCAGGCAAATACAAGAGAACCAGTTGTCGGAATATGCTCTGGACCTCTTCAGTGGACTGACAACCGTCACTGTTCTGTGAGTTTTCTACCACATAAACATTCAATCATACAATACTTACGTTATACCCATTTACAATCACTACTCTTTGCAGTCATAAATATTGTGATACCTTTTATTACCTTCATGAATTCCAGGCACACAGACAGTTATCAACTCATCTGTATTGCCCAGAACGAGGCGAACCTGAAGCTACGGACATTCACCCCACCAAAGGATGCTATCGCTTCATGCGAAGACCTCATTGAAAATGCAGTGAGTAAAATAAAGTCTTAAGGAAGCAAACCTCCCCTCCCACTTAAGTAATAAGATGTAATAAGACAGGATAGTGAAATATTAACTAAAGCATGCATGTTGGTTGGATATTTGTCAATGAGTAGGGCTCAATTGTGTCAATCACTGAGCTGGGCATACCTGGGTAAAATGAATAAATCGCCCAACTTTCAACTGCAGCTGTATTCAATAATTTTTCAACCCAAAATATATCATCCTGAAATATCTCAACACATCTCATAGACCATAATGTCCTTTTCCAGGAGCTGAGGATCGTGCTGTGGGTTTTGGGTTGGTTCGCCTTCCTGGGGAACATCCTGTTCATCATACGTCGTCTTGTCAAACAGAAAGGCGCCCTGACCAAAATCAAAATCCTAGACCTCATTTTTCTCAACCTGCACATTGCAGACGCCATTATGGGTGTCTACTGCATCATCATTGCCTCTGCAGACGAACACTACCGCGGACGGTACATCGAGAACGCGGAGATCTGGAAGCAAGGGGGACTCTGTCAGTTCGCTGGGTTCATTTTCACCCTTGCTGCTGAAATCCCCTTTATCGCCCTCCCTATAGCTGCTGTTGAGGAAAGCATTTATGCCTTCTTTGACCTGAAGTTCAGGAAGGAATTTGGGAATAAAGAGAATAAGGAGAAGCCGCCGTTTCCTCAGTGGATATCGCTGAAGAGGGCGGCAGCCATGTTGGGGGTCTCCTGGTTTGTTCTTGCCTTTCTGGCTATCGTTCCCCTGTTTGGTATCCCCTACTTTGGGAACAAGTTCTATGCAAAGAGCACGGTGTGCCTCCCGGTGTACATCGCTGGTGACTTGCCCGTTGGGTTCGGGTATACCGCCTTCCTCTTCATCATTTTCAACTTCTGTGCGAGCATGGCGCTCATCGCCTGCTATGTCTTCATGTTCGCAGTGGACACCCAGAGGGAGGTAGAGTATGATGACGAGGGGGAGGCTATAGAGGAGATGGCCTTCAGCCATCGGTTGTTTGCCGTGTCGTTCACTAACCTGTCCTGCTGGCTGCCCGTGGTGCTGTTCGGGATGGCGGGGTGGCACGGCAGCCCAGTGTCGGTTGACCTGACGCCCTGGGCTGCCCTGATCATGATCCCTATCAATGCTGCCGTCAATCCGCTGATCTACATGATCTTTCCTGACAAGAAGAGGGACCTGGGAGCTGACAAGGGGAAAGACGGGAAGCCAGGAGCCAAGCCGGGACAGGGTGGGGCCAAGCCAGGACAGGGTGGGGCCAAAGCGGTCCAGGGCGGGGCCAAGGCAGGGCAGGGTGGGGCAAAGGCTGGACAGGGTGGGGCCAAACCTGGCCCGGGTGGAGCCAAGCCGGGCCAGGGTGGGGGCAAACCCGGTCAGAGTGGGGCCAAAGCGGGGCAGGGTAGGGCCATGGCAGGGGCCAGTGAGGTCGAGAGTGCTGTTAAAGCTAAAGGCGGTCAGGCTCAGGCTAGGGGGAAGGGCAAAGTTGCAGGTGCAGCCAAGGATGATATTGGTAGTGCAGGTGACGCCGAACCCAGCGCAAAGGGCCAAGCTGGCGGCAAAGTAGTCCCTGAAGAAGCCAAGATTGTGGCCAAGGAAGGAGATGGAGGCTCTCCAGATGTCGCTAAAGCTAGCAGTGGCAATGCGCAAGTTGGAGGTCCTGATGCAAGTGCTGGCGAGACGGTTGATGAGGGAGTTGCGGCAGGGGAAGGCGGCGGCACTAAGGTTTCTCTCAAAGTCGAAGTGCACCGCAGTGACGAGAAGGGTGACACCACCAGTGACGACAGCGGGGTGAGTGGGTCTAAGAGCGAAGGCACGGAGGGGAGTCACGAAGATGCCGGCACTGCTGAAGGATCCCCGGATCAGGCCAAAGAGACCTCAGCACATGACGTGGATGCTGGCGACACGCCCACTCAAGGTGGCAAAGGGAATGCCAAAGATGATGCGAAAGCCAGGGAAGGATCCCATGATGAGGGCAAGGCTGGTCCTGTACGGGATGGAGGCGTGGATGCAGGAGATGCTACCGCTCAGGATGGCGGAGGGGGTTCGAAGGATGGTGCTAAAGTGGGTGAAGCAGACCACAAAGTAGAGACTGATGGCAACAATGCAGATGGCAAGGCTGAGGCTGACTAAATAGGCAGTAGCACTGAAGCTGCTAAGAGGGGAGAGGATCTGGTTGGTTGCAAAGATGATCATGACAGAACAAAGAGCACTGGAACAGGGCAAAGATGACAATAACACTCATAAAACAGCCCCACATATAACTTATAACGATATAAGGGTAGCGATATACAACTTAGGATAAGTTGGTTTAGGAAAAGATAGAAATTTAATTTACGCGGACCATTCATTTACCGGGTTTTAAACTTTTAAGCTGACCGCGACTTCACTGCAAGAGTGAGTAATTTGTCATGATATTCATTTAAATCATTTAGTGAATTTTATGAGATCTGTATTCACCTGATTTTCATTTATTTCATTGTACTGTAAAATTATTAAAACATTAAGGAAGACGACTAAAACGGTCAATGTTTAAAGTTAATGATAAAGATATTTGATAATCGAACTACAAGCTGGTTCTAGTAACGTACAATGGTACGAAATTGATAAACATAATCTAAACGGCTGTTTATGATAGGCTTCTGACTCAAATGCTGTCAAATATTCAAGATTTTTAAACATTAATAAGCATGAATGCCTTTCCACTTTGTGTTGTCTTTATTTTCAGTTTTCTTTCCGTCAGTTCAATCTAGTGCAGTTCCTACCACCATAAACCAAACATTACTAGAACGTAGACCATACTCAGAGAATTAGCAAAACCAAAGTGTGCAAAACAACAATTACAGTAGCATTCAAGTACAATGCGTAGGTTTATATCTCAGTACAAAAAGACTATAGCTCCACAGGCAAAGTATGATTGTGTTGGAAAGACAAGCAAAAATTGTCTCCAGGAAATATTTGCGTGTCTATTAGAAATGGTTGAGACATGCCACCATCAGCATCCAGAGAGCCGTCAGCCATCTGTAAGCAAAAATACAGGCGTTACAAAACATGTACAGATGTCACGTATGCACAGTAGCAATACATTTTACAATTATATTTTTGGTAACAATTCGGTTCAACATTGAATATTTTGAAGTCCTAAACATCAGTCAAGCGCATATAGTGAAGATGCTATCATCACATTAGCAGTTTGTAGGGAAGCTTAAATCAGCTTCAGGTCGCTTTACATTGAGGTCATAAGGGAAGAGGTAACGGTCATCCAAATGTATCCAAAAGATAAGAGAACAACATTTTAAGTCCTAACACATCTTTACATATACACCGTACAAAGGTACAGAAAAATACAAATATGTATATTAACAAGTGTTGTATAGACTTACGTATTGACGCCTGCATGTTTGTTCCCGTCGCTAGTGTTCTGCAGGATATCGGGGTACACGTCTGTAGCCCGGCAGGTTCCAGGGTTGTATCCCCCCGAAGATTCCCAGGGGCTGGGCGTGGCCTGGCCGGGCGGTGTGGCGTACGTCACCATCATCATCCCCTGGTCCTCGTGGTTCAGGATGTGGCAGTGCAGGACGTACGGACCGATGTAGCTGCAGGGAGTACAGTTCAGTGTCTCAGGTCTTCTTCAAAGTCGCGGCCTACTTTTTAAAAAGTTTTTCCAGATTACTTTTCAGATTGGCAGGTTGGTCTCCTAAGCGGCGGTGCGTACTTTGATCTATCTACTGTAATCAGGAATTTATGGACACCTTTTACGGTTTTTTTTCTATCAAGTTTGGGACCTGTCCATTACTGTTTCCTCTGCAGGCAGGCGCGGCATTGCGAAAAGAACTTGGTGGAATGAATCGCAAGGGTCTGTAACGGCAGTCTTTCAGTGCGAAGTAGGCCTTGATACTATGTCAATTGCCCCGGTCGTTTTCTGCCCAAAAGACCTTATTTTATTAGATTTCATGTATAAACTGAGCGGCAAAGCCAAATGATTTTTTCATATTTCCAAACAATCAGCAAAACGATCATTACTTTTTCTTGGTCACTTCTTATTTTATGATATTGCTCATTGACTTATAAACTAGCCAGATACATGAAAAGCAAGCCACTGATTCATGTCTCTATCATCAAAGAAGAAGATTATCAGAAAAAAAGTGCTGATAGTGTTTTAAAACTTACTCGGCCGCTTTGAAGCGGACGGTGACGCTGCCCAATGGGGGGATCAGAAGCACATCTCGGTACTCTCCAAGTCTCGCGTAACCCGCGAGATTTCGATCGTTGGTGTCATGGCCGACGAAAGTCGTATCCACGGTGACGGGGAGAGCGGGGAGGGAGCTCGGGTCGAACAATCTGTGCTGTTGGTCGCACAGATTGCCCTGGGTAATATACAGAAGACCAACATCATCGTCCATTTTGATGCTGTAGATTTGATGCTTAGTGAACAAAAATATACTACCTATCATGCGTAAATGTCGGAAAATAGTAAGTGCAATACAAGTGTAAGCCTCTTGTACAATATATGTGCTATGTGTCAGAATGGTAGAAACAAGAAGTATGGTAGTCAGAATGGAAAACACAACAATGTTTACTGTCTTCTGCAAAACGTAGTATCTGTGATGCCAGAACGGACAATTAGACTAAGGGACATTTGAGATGAGATGAATATACGTACATTTAAGTCATAATATGCAAATCCTTCTACACCAGTGGTTCCGTCAGCTGTAAAGGATAGACAGGTGTTGTCATGACACTTTTGTTATCAAAGGCAATGCTCTGATGGCACGCCAACCGTTTACTTGGGCGGGGGACGGCCACGATTTGAAGATCTTCGTTACATTTGATATGTCCATGGTTCATTGGTTGATTGCTGAAAATAGTTAGTAATAGTAGTAGTAGTAGTAGTAGTAGTAGTAGTAGTAGTAGTAGTAGTAGTAATAGCAGTTACTGTAGGCAATCGTATGCCTGACAGTGCTATGAGTTAATACACTATCTACATACAGTAGTGAACTTATCGTTTGTTTTTACGTTTTAAATGTATCAGTTCCGAAGCAACTCTCGGTTTTGCTCCTTTTCCCTGCGTTGTAGCCATATTATGAGTTCTTGCCTCTAATGTGTTCTTTTTTTACTGTGTTTCCCATGCTCAGATCAAAGAATTTTACGTCAAGTTTTACCACAGAAATTATTTCCTTGTGGTAACATTGTAAGAACAACAGCTAGTGTCTAACCTCCAACTACCGAGCCACCGCCACCACCACCCAATATAGTGACAGGCCCGTTGTACGGGTTGTAAGAGATGACCTGGAAATGGTTGACGTGCATGTGGAGAGGGTGTCCATCTTCCTCATTAGTGTTGACAAATACCCATTGCTGAGAACAACAGATTGAGTTTCAGGTTAACAACAAATATACTTACGAGCGTATGCCGTTGAAAACGATGAAGTAGGTGCAACTCATAGATTGTTGCACTGGCTCTGTTTTCTATTTTTTGTCTCAATGGGATAGAGTACAATCTAAGAGGTGTCGGCTACAAGATGCATCGTATATCCCTAACCCTTTTCTGGTGGTAGCCAAAATCACCATGTGCCAGTATTAGTATTTTAGATGGTAATATCCATATACTACTACTACTCTCAGTAGGTACACTATGACTTAACTGGCGTAAACAACAGCATGGCTCAGTTAAGACATAACAGCTTTGATCGATTGATATAAATAGTATTCTTTGCATTACATGTAGAGGGAAGAAGACTGAAATGCTTGATACACTCATGTATTGCCCTACCTGGACGGTGTCCACCTCGAAGTTGTATCGGTAGTAGGTGATGTTTGTGAACTGCTCGCGGTTGAGGAACGGGTCCGGCCCGACCTCCACCACGTACCTGCCGCCGATGGCCGAGTCTTCCACGGTCCGCAGATCCTCCAGGTGGGAGGGTTTCGTCGGCGTTGTCGTCGGGAAGTTCATGGACACTGAAGCGCCTTCGGGTGGTAAACAAGGCGTTAGAAACTAGAGAAGTAACATTTGCAAAGCAAATGCATAGTGTTTACCATTGGACACGGTCTGCTCTGTTAATTCTTACTCAAACACATTCAGATACATGTACTACTAGTACATGGAGCAGAGCAGATCATGAAATTGCAACATTATGTAACCCCACACCAGTCACCATGGTGACAGACGTCAACAAATCATGTCATTGGTCAGGTCATATGTCACTGTTTGGAGAAGAAGAAGAGGAAGAAACTGAGCAAAAACAATATGTTTTCCTTCGGTAAACATAAATATGCGATATGCCTTTATCATATTGGAGATAAGCCTACACAAACGCCCTTCTTTATCACGAAAGTTAATCTGTGTTGGTAGTTACATGTTTAAAGTTAACACTTTGTTTCCACCAGTCACTCTGTTTTTCTTCAATAGACTTTTTCAGTCTAAGAAGACCAGAGTGACTGATCGAAAGCTCTAGGTGGGAACATTCGTGTTGGGACACAAGTTTTACTTTTGTTTATCCCATTTCTTTTATGTCAAACGTTTCATTTTAGTACTGTTTGCCCTGTTAGGAAATAGAATATGCTTGATGATGTCTAGATTTATGGAAAGCGTATTCCCATCAGTTTCCTGTAGAATAGAATAGAATGATTCGCTAATTATATAAAAATTCACTGTTTTATTACTTAAAGCAAAGCTTAATGCCGGTTACATACCCGCTACTTGAATGGTGGCAAGGACTCCTCCGTAGATAACTGTGTCCGCGATAGATGGCCCGTGGGCGGTATCTTCCCCTGAGCGTATCTGGTGACAGAATGACCGATAACGATTTGTACTTAAGTTCTTTAGCGTTCTGTAACGGGGTTACATTCTATAGCCCATTGGACTGTCTCCTATGCATGTGGTTTAGCATACGCCCTCCATTTTTGCAAATCATTTCGGGAGAAGTGAGAGGCAGTGGAAAGAGAGGGATTGGCTCTACCGTCCAATACCGTGCGCTAGACACAGTTGATTAACAACCCACTGCACCTACTGCCTGTGAAACGTTACGGGACTACTTTTTTCATATCTATTACCTCGTAGGTTCCCGCAGTCGCACATCTGACGGCGGCGTCACACCGTCCTCCAGTCGGGATGAAGATGAAGTCCTGTGAGTAGGGCGTGTCCACATACACACCGTCATACGCCAGGATGGTGATCTCACAGCCTGGACAGGTAGGGAAATTATTATAATGTTTACCTTCACATGGCCTAGGCTAACAAACTACTGCTCTGGTTGTCCTTACAAACACGTTTATATACATAGTCTCATAGAGACCGGCCCTTCCAACTCTGTCCTGCTACTTGCTACACAATGTAACCCAACACCACAGGGTCTTTGCTGAAGAGCAGGGTAAAGAGTGATTGACATGATCTAAATGTTTCAAAGCTGCTATGGTCTCCGATCCCCCCAAAGATGGCCCCAATGTCCCCAACAAACAAAAATAGGATACTACACATGAAATTAATCTGCCGCATCTTGAACTTGTCTATTTACAATTTTTCAAACACTGTCACAGTGGCATTGTGGTTCCTGCGTGCTTCATTGTATGACTACATGCGGTGGCATTTCATGGTAGCTTCATAGTTGATGCACACTTACCTGTAATGGTAATAAGCAGCATGTCCGCGGGACCGGCGTTCACCATACGGAACCGCCTGATCTCGCCTGGCTGCATGGTGATGGTTGGGCGGACCTGTCCTGTACATGGGAATGGAGGAAATGTGGTCATTGTTCATACATGTAGGCAGTGCGCATAGTTCAGTGGTTAGTGAGTCTGCCTCACTGCCTCTACACTTAGAGGATGGGAGTTTGAATCCCTGCTGTTGTCGCTCACCCGACATGTACGCTACTGGAAAGGGTCACAGTCCTTAGTACGGGACGTTAAGCTATGGTCCACTGTTCATTGTGCTTGTCGAAAAGAGCTGGGGAATTTCTCGAGTGCAATGAATACTTTTACACAACGCCTGTCAAGACCAGTGGGAGTTTAGCTCTTCAGTGAGC